TTAGCAAGGTGTTCTTTAGATTTGTTGCAAGGCGCTCTTTAGCAAGGCGTTCTTTAGATTTGTTTGGTGTGTTGGAGGCCATTGACTAGACATGCATCCAGATCATCCAGTATTTGGGAATTGGGAATACAAGAGAGCGGATTTTGGGTTTGGCTGATACATTGCCAACATGCTTCGAGGAACCAGAAAAGAACATATGCCAATGTCAGGCCGACCGCAAATTCTTCAGATTCTTCATCATATATACTGTACTCCAATTGACCGACGCTTTCGATCAAAACTGAATCACCAGCACAAGTCTAAGTCCGTCCGCCAGCAATCCGTGCCCCTCGAGAATGCGGCTCTCCAAGGCATCCCTTCGAATTGAAGAACGCGTGGCGGAACAGGACGCACCGCGGTGTGGCGCCATCGCGCCCTCGCGACGATGGCTGGCGTCTGTCTCGTAGCTGATGTCGAAGCACGGTGGCTGCAGGAAAAGACACAAGCCCAAGTGCAAGAGACGCGTGCCACTTATGTCCAGAGCTCAGCAGAGCTCAGCTCGCCCCTGGGTGTGGGCCCTGGGGCCCTTTTTTGGGCCCTTCTTATTACACTGAGTTGAATACTTGGTCGTGGGTACTGCGCAAGAGCTCAGCACTGAAATGACATTCAAGTGAGACAAAGACTGTAGACTGTAGACTCTTGATGAATAAACCCTCTCCATGTCCATGGATTGGAAAACCTCTTTAAGTTTGGGGAGTCGACTTGTATATCAGGAGTCTACACTAGAAAAGAACGAAGAAGGCGCAGTTGCCTGTCTTGCGCCTGGAAGGTGCCTGTGGCTGTTCGGGTGGATGGCTTAGCATCCCACCGGACCTGTGTTCGTCAAAAACGTCTTTCGTTGGATTCGCTAGAGAGGAACACAAAAACCGCCAACCAGTGTCACCATGTCGATGATTCATGATCTTGTGCTTTGACTGAAGCATGTATCTCTTCCATGGTCAATAAGCTGTTTGCAAGCAAACAGCTGAACACTTCAGTCGCCATAGAACGCACGGACGTCAGCGGTCAGGCCAGTGCGCTCTTCTTCGTTGTGGCTGACCTTTGCAATGCCTTAGCTCTCAGCACCGACGGCACCACCGAGTCATACCGAGTCACCGAGACGAGACGCGTGGAGCGTCCAGTGGAGCGTCCGGGGTGTACAGTCGTCGTCTCGAACACCAAGGTGGAGCCGATGTATCAGTACAGCCTGGAATGGTCGGGCGCTCGACCATGAACGAGACAGCGAGGCGGTGAAAGCTACCGAAAAACGTGATATACAGTATATGTGAGAGAGAGAGAGAGAAGCATCGACGCACTTCGCGTCGAGTCGACGCACGACTCGGTGGATCTCAAGGTTCTACACCATCTACGAAGCGGCCATCGTCAGGGTCCCGGAGATCACGAGATCGAGCATGTGTCGTGCGTGTCGTGGAAAGCGTGCGTGTCACGTGTCGTGCGTGTCCTTTGGACGCACGAACCACGTGGTTCGTCCGACGCACGAGGCAGCGGCGGAGAAGTTTGAACGCAACATCCAGAAGCGTCTCTCTGCACTGCAGAGCAAGTTTCTGGAGCTGCTCTTCGAACGGGGCACTCAGGGTGTCAGACGTGAATCGTCAGACTTACTGGAGCTGTCAGACGTGTTTTTCGTATCGTCGGGGCCACGACATGTCGATGGCGTGCGTCTTCTTGAGGCTCTCAGATCTGGAGAAAGAGTGACAGTCAGCCAGCATGAAACGGCCAGCGATGAAATCCACGCAGATCAACAATTACCTGGTTCAGTCATGTTCAGTTGGGATTCTAACCTGCCTATCAGTAGATAAATCTTTAGATATCATTCACGGAGTTTCTACCAGGCAGTAGGCCGAAGCTAGTATGATAATAGACTCAGTCGCAGCCACTGAGTGGGACTTCCAAAGATTCAAGCTAACCCATAAACTAAGCCAACTCCCAGGGTTTATTCCACATCCATTGAAGACAAGTCCAAGTCGCATACTTAATTAGGTTAGCATCCATAAACCAAGCATAAGGATGGGGTTGTGGTTGGGAAGATTCCCCCTCTACTAAGTGGGCTGGGAAGATTCTCTATCGAAGTGCATGGTATTGCAGGGCTGGCCATTTGGGCGGCCATCTGGGCGAGAGATGAAGTAGATGTCACCCATGGCGCAAGTCTTGAAAACCAAGGACCAGGCATTTGATATCATTGGATCATTTGTGTGAGATGAAGTCGAAGAGAGTGACTCAGTCCTGCTTCGCATATACGTTCCGTGTGTGTTCAGAGCTCAGAACAGATTGTGTTCATCCAGAACACGTGGAGTTCAGAAGGACCGTCAGACCGAAGGACCTCCGAGGTTTGACCGACCGGTCGAAGCGCGGAAGCGCTGCTGCGCCGCTGCTCGACGGTGGGTGGTCGCTGGACGGCTCGACAGGTGATGGTTGAAGTCATCGCCGAGGATGAAGACTCCAGGCGCTGTGGGGACGTGGTCGAGACGTGGGCGTTTGCAGGAGCGGGTGGGCTGGGATGTGCAAGTCAGTCGGTTTTGTATGGTGAAGTATGGTGAAGTTCGTTTTGTTCTGGTACATTTCAGGTCTTCTGAAGACATCCACATGTCAGGTTTTAAACAAGGTTGGCCTGATGTTGGAGAGCGAGCCCACCCCGAAAAACATCGAAAAACACTCTGAAAACAGGCGCTACACCTGGAAACATCCTCTTCCTTTGCAGCAGAAGATCATGCCCTTGAGGCGCCACTGGGCCGAGGCACTGGAGAGACTGTCGAAACGATCAGAATTGGAGTGAGTTCGCCACTGGTTTAAGTCTTCCGAAAAAGGGTTGCCCAAAGGGCCATGCCATCCGCATACCCATCATTGCCTCGAAGACGCGAAGCTCCGAAGGCGCAAAGCTTCAGAGCTTCAACTGAAGACGCGAAGCTCCGAAGACGCGAAGCTCCGAAGACGCGAAGCTCCGAAGACGCGGAGCTTCAGAGCTTCAAAGCTTCAACCGAAGACCCGAAGACGCCGAGCTTCAGAGCTTCAGAGCTTCAACCGAAGACACGCAGACGCCGAGCTTCAGAGCTTCAAAGCTTCAAAACGAAGACGCGAAGCTTCAAAGCTTCAGAGCTTCAGGAGCTTCAGAAGCTTCACAGCCCCACCGAAGACGCGGAGCTTCAGAGCTTCAAGAGCTTCAGGAGCTTCAAATCCAGAGCGAAGACGCAGAGCTTCAGAGCTTCAAAGCTTCAGAACGACTCCGGGACCACGCTGCCGATGCTGTCATAACCATGATTTTCTTTCAGGGAGTGTACTTTAAAGGAATGCATGCTCCAAGACTTTGACCAGTTCCAGTTCGAAAGAAAAGCCACATGAAGCCGCTGAATCGAAGGCTCATGGAGTTGAAGAGGAGGCGCTGACCGCGTGGAGAACGATTCCTGAAGCCACGAGACCACCTCATCCCCCAAGCAGCAGCTTTCTTTATGCAGGTGCTGAAGTGTTTTAGTCTTTTTAGTTGTATACAGAAAGGGGTGAATGTACTTGTGCATAGCAGCATGATGATGGGTACCATCAAGTACCAGGTGGGTGCTCATTCGCTTCAATTCGCAATGAATAATGAGCGCCTAATCACGTGACATCCTTTTTTTAACATGGGCCGTCCCTTCGTACCAATGCCCTTGAGAACAGATTCTAGGCCTCGGAACCGTCCAGCGGGGAGAACATCCATGAAGATCCGATCTGAGATCTGTGAAGATCCATACAAATTCATTGAGATCTACGAGCATTCATGGCCCTCAACAAGCTCAAGAGCTGCACCCGTCATGGTCTTTCTCTTTTTCTGTCGTTGAGAACCCACGTCGATAGGCGGTTCTCTTCCTGGACCACGCGGATGCCTCGATCGACCTGCAAAAGACGCCGCCCAGCTCGGTCCGAGCGGAAGCGGCGAGCTCGTTCGGTCGTGGAAGTGCCTCGCCGTGTCGCCTCGCCGTGCGACGGTGCTGTGGTGTTGAATCACATGCCTAGGCATATCGCGTGTTCAAGAAGCGCAAGCGCAAACTGGACACGATTCTTTTCTCTGGTCGAAGCCAAGAACGAAGTCAAGAGCGAAGTCAAGAGACTGCTCAGCTAAGGCCAGCTGAGCTGGGTTGGAAAGATACTGTGCAGCTGTGCCTTGGAGAACACACATGCAACACTTGTGCAGAGTCGCTAGAGGATCACATTTGATTCGTTCCACAGTTCGAACAACTTTCTCATTTTAGGCACTCACTTCTGAGCACCCAATTCTTGGGTTTGAGGCAGGACAGGTCGGACAGGTTCCAATTTGCTTCCACTTCTCTCTCTCTCTCTCTCTCGCACCTTTCTCCTCAACCTAACCTTGAATTCTTCGATTCGTTTGCCAAAGAATTCCCATTTTTTGACCAACAACTCCTCAAAAATTCGTTCGACGCTTCCGAGGTGTGCGGTGCCTGCCAGTGACGACTGGGCTGAAGGTTCGACGCGACAGCTGACAATCGCTGGTCACTGACTGAATCAATGATCCCAGTCAGCCGGAACATCCTAGGGACCCATAGGCTTCCTGACATCATAGGCCTCAGAACCTGTTTCAGTCTCATAGGCCTCAGAACCTGTTTCAGAACCTGTTTCGCTTGTTGGCTGACTTTGTCGTCTTTTTTCTCAGCATCTCATGGAACATGTCACTCATCACCACTTGCGGCACCACCACTTGCAGCCTCCGCCCTCGCACGCCCTCGCACGCCCAGGTGCGCAGCGCCCGCCCAAACGGCCGCCACGGCCGGCCAAGCGTGCGAAGGTGGAGAAGACGGAGTCCCAGTCGCCTTCCGAGAAGGTGGGCAGAGCCAGAGCGAACTGGTGGAGGATGGGATCTGAATGGGGATTTGATGGTTAGCTGTGGCTTCAGATGGTTTCACAGGTTCGATGGCACACGTTACCCCAAGTTTGGTGGTTTTCTTTTGTTTTGGATCCCCATCTCTTCAAGACGGGTTTGTGCCATCTACATCCATCTACATCCATCAACCACTGTAAAAGTTCCTGTACTTTTCCACTTGTGCAGGTTCCAAAGATCATTTCCTTTTTTCAATGATGTTTTCATTGTTTCGGTTCCTGGCTCTCACAGACATATTTTTCGGCATCATGAAGAGATGTTTTTACTCATTACTCATTACTCCAGGTCTCAATGAATGTAGGAAGCTTGCTTCGTGCAGCGATGACGACTTGTGGAGGTGTGAGTGGACGTCAAGGGACTTTTGTCTGAAGCCAGGCATCCAGCAGTGTGCGCAAAAGCGAGGACTTGGAGGATGCGAAGCCACTGGCAGAGACTCAGATGTGAACAAGTCTTGGAGCTTTTGTGAATTTTCAGCAAGATCAGATCAAGGTCTTGGTAGAGTTGCAGTGTGACAGTCCGATGCGGCCCGATAGGAAGCGAAACGCCGCAACACCGGAGAAAGCATCTTTCCCTACGTACGTCCAGTCTGACCCAATCAAACCTGGTCTTTGACCTCCCTTTTCGTCGTGTTTTTGGTATGACCAAGTCAAATAAACATGAGCTCATTGAGTCATTGACATTGACCTTTGGTCCTCAATTCCTCAATTCCTCGGGACTTTTCACCGAGCAAGCTCAGGACTTGGGGGGGAATATCCCTGGTGACGATGAGCCGGTGGTCTTCCAGGCCGCGTGTGAAAGCGCACGGACCCAGAACCGGAGTCCTTCGTGCAAAACGGTTCGGAGTCCTTCGGTCGCTCGGGTCACCGTTGCGGCGTGACGTCACGCGCGGTTGACGCATGGTATGACCATGGTATGCAAGTGGTCGAAGTGGTGTGCTTGAAGTCGGATGCTTTGAAGCAGTGCCATTCATCCGCATGTTTTTGTAGTGGTGCATTCATCCGTTTGAGATGGCGAAACATAAGGAAACATATTTTTGCAGGCAAAGGTATTCAACATCACATCAGACATCGCATCCCGCAAGGCTTCAGCAAATGACTGGACGTTTCAGTTCTGCAATTGCTGTCTTTGCAGGCGGACAATCCAAAGAGGCGCGACGCAATGTAGACAGTCTTGTGAGACTTTCTTGAGAGCAAAATATGGGCGGATGTAGCCAGAACTGATGTAATTACAGACCTATAGACTGACCTATGGGCAAGAACTATTACTGGTTATCACTGGGTGTGTAGTTCAAATAGGCAGACCGAACCGCAGGCGTTCCGACCCCCCCTGGAAGAAGGAAAATGGACCAAAGAGCCTCTTGATCGTGCGCTGCCCCATGGAAATACACACCCATCGACCTAAATATGGCAGTGGATCAAAACCTGGAGCTCCAAGGTGTGGGCAGGTTGATCATGTCTGATGATCTATTATACGCTGTTCATGTTTGGTGGGAAAAAACCGTGTGCCCCCTGTTTTGACCCACTTCCTTATGGTTACAACGTGTACTAACATCGGACCCTCTCTCCAGGTCCGGCACTACTGCATATGAGCGCTACGAGCCGCGGTCTCAGCGAAACAGGTGGATCAACAGGATGCAGGGCAAAAAGGAAACCGTTGCCAACTGTTCATGAAGCTACTGGAATCCACACACCACCAACCACCAAGTCGGTTTCACGGAGACTCTGTTCTTTACTCCTTAAGCCGCCGCAGAAGCTAACAGACGACAGAGCTGAAGCAAATCTCACCGACCATCAGCGCTCTCAGGAAATACAAGTCAGCCAAAACCATCACGGAGGCACTGGAAAAGGGAGCTGCTCGAGGAGATATCATTAATGACTTCAAGCCGCTCAGCATCTGCGAACAGATCCGTGAAGTCGATTCATGCAATGACGCCGCAGAATGATCGCAATTGTGCTGTGCCAGTGAAAGTGGGTTCAGTTATATAGTGTTCTTTTATGTTCTTTTCTTTATCATGTCCGGTTCAGTATTCCGATGTGCCAGCTGAGGAAAGGTTTCTTTGGACGCCAGTAGAGTGGGCCTGGAGAGCTTTTGGACAAGAGCCTTTGAACGCTCCGAGAGGTCTTGAAAGGTCTTGGCTTCCGCAAATTGATTTCCAGCCGTACTGCTGAAGAGCGGCAGAATGTGCCTGCAAATCGATCGGAACAGCTGCCACCCCGGTGACTATCATACTTTGCAATCGAGGGGCTTTGATTGCCGAGGATGTCGCATTGCTTGCAAAGATGACAAAGTAGTGCACGAGCGCGTCTTCGCGAACTGTTGATTTGAGGTGAGAGTCGACGCCAAAGCTCCATGTAGTCACAACTGGGGTCTGAGTTTCGTGTCATCTACTTCCTGTTGTATGTCATATCTCGCTTGTGTACCAAGGAGCAGACCTGCCACTCGCTCTTTGAGAAGGACTTGCAGTTCTTGTGGTCTGAAGTCTTCCACAGAGCTATCAGCTAGTGAGACATCTGCTGGTGGGGCTTAAGACACCCGACGACCCGGGACAACCCTTGGGGGCTTCGGGACGCCCGTCGTGTTTTAGTAGCGTCCTTGCTCCGTTCGTAGCAATGCCCTTTGCTCTGTTCGTAGCTTCTTGTTCCTAGTAGTAAGGCCAGGAGCCCCTAGGAGCGTCCTTGCTCCGTTCGTAGCTATGCCAGGAGCCCCTACTTGTAGTTCGGATTTGGGGGACGACCCGCCTGGGTGGTGTTTTGAATGGCAAAAAAACCTTTGATTGGGATGGCTCGCGCAGCTCGCCACTGGCCGTCCTTTGTGCTCTTGTCAGGACAAATTGATGTTCTCGCTCCTACTGGCCTTCAAGTCCATGGAGGCCGGCTTTTCTCACCCAACGACGGTCCATAGCTCCTGCAAGAGACGGTCCATAGCCGTGGCACGGTTTCGAAGACATGGTTTCGTAGTGGGGATCTACGAGCTTCTATCTATTTGGGGGGTCTATATACTGTATATGTCTAAAGTTTTGAGTTGTTGCGTGGTGGGACCAGCGGACGACTAAGCAACCAGCCCAGCCAAACTCTGCCTGTGTCAAAGGTGGATGATGACATCAATTTGGAGGAGAAGTTTCACCTGGCATGCTTGCAATGTGCTTGCCGAGTTGAAGAGATGTGAACATAAGATAATATCTTATAGCCGCGCATAGCCCCATTACCCCCTGCCCTTCTGGGATCAGCTTCTCAGATCACACCAAGGTGATGCTCAAATTGTACCAAATTGTAAGGTGGCCAGTCTTTCATTTCAATCAACAGTTTATCACCGTTTCGGCACGAACACCATGTGTTGGCCAGGCGTCTCCTGTTGATGGCTTTGGGGGGTGGCACGGCGCACACGCCGAAGCCTCCAGCAGAGTGGCTCACGGAGAAGATGTGGAGTAGGAGCGGCACGGTCGCTGGGATGGTCTGTTGATCCACCATTTTTGACCTCCGTCCAGGTAAGTTTTAGTTGTTTTTTGGGGCATGTCTATATAGAGAACCATGATGTTTTTTTGGGGGGCATGTCTTATAGAAGGAGGATATGCTTTTCTTTTGGCATCTGATTGTGTCATCGAAATCGAACAGACCTTTGCCCCCGGTTGCAAACAGCGATCGACAAGGTTTCCCGACAATGTAAGGTGTCCTTTTGTCGGAAGTTTGATGCGTTTGATATCGCTTGATGTCCGTTTTCCTTGTGTGTAGGGGCCTGCCTTGTTCCTACATTCCTGCCACAGAACCTTTTCAGTGGGCCCCCCAAAAAACTCTAAATGCCAATGCTTTCTGGTCCTATGCTTTCAACCAAGTGCGAAGTTGCCGGCAAAAAGCTGTGCAGCCTGCTTGCTTCAGGATATGCGTCCTCGACAAATTGGGCAAGGGCCCATGGCACAAGTTTGCCAATAACTTCAAGGACTAACTTGGAATCACTTCACGTCCTTTTGCATGAGAGAGGTCCTCAAGTCACTTGCTCATGTACCTATTCAACCGCTCAATACCGCTGTCTGAGCGGGCCCGGCTCATTCCCCTCATTCAGGACAACGTGGATCGGTGGAAGCAGGTCTTTGATTCGGACAATCCCCTGGCAGAGCATTGGCCGGGCAAGGCCGAGAGCACCGGCTTGGGATGAGAAGTACAAATCGGTTGAAACCGGCCTCCTAGCGCTTCCTGTCAGTGCTCTGTCTGGAGACCTGTAAGTAGGAGAGATCCATCGGTGACCCCTTGGAAGCAGCAGGTATGGCCTCCAAACTATGGCCTCTCCCCAAATGCGTGCCTTTTGGTACAGAGAGGACAAAGCAGCGAACTCCGCTGCAGCAGTCGACATCCGATTTTCAAGGATTCAACATAACAAAACAGATGTTAGATATAGACAGCCTTTGGGCCGCCACCGGGTGTTACTGTTCTTTTTTTCTGGCAGCTTGTCAGGAGCAGATGTCAAGCTTGCAAAGAGCCTTGGTGCTCTTAGCTGTGCCCTGGATGCGAGCAGGATGAGCTCACCACGGTCACGGCATCTTGCGCGTCCGTTGAACCGACACGAAGTCGGCACGGCGGCCCTGCTGAGGTGCGCACGGACTGCACCATCGCGGGACTTCAAGAGGCTTGAGATTTGAAATGCTGAAAGCGTGGTGATTGGTGTGGCCTGCAAAGCATAGAAGCAGCAAAAGATTTGAAAGGGAGGAATCAGAAGAACATGAAGAAGGACACACAAACTGGTTGGTGGTTTGCGTGGCGTGTCTTTGCCTTTGCGGTTAAACACCTGGCATTTGGTCGGAACTCGCCGGAACTCGCCGGAACCCGGCAGGTCATTGCGGCCAATCTGGGCAAGAGCTTCCTGGAGCCTCCAGGGTTCAATTTGGAAAAGACGGGATGCCCAGTGAAACGATGTGAAACGCCGTCCACCGTAGCTGTCCACTGTCGTGTTGCGTGGTCGGTGCGAACTTCGCTTCTTCGCTTCGCTTCCCAAAGCGGGCATTTGCTTGATAAGTCCAGGGATGAGTGGGGTTGGTCAAGACACATCAAGACCTTTTCTTTAAGTTAAGAAGGATGGACCGTCCGTTTTTCGGGCATGTGTCAGGGGCTCTTTTTCCCTTTTCATTTACCCAGCCCGGATGGCTTTTCTCGCCCAAAGCATCATAGAGCCTAGTCTTTACCACCCAAAATTCGAATGATCGGAGGAAAGCTCACTAATTAAGCTGATCTAGGGCTAAGCCAATCCCCCAGATCAGGATTCTTCTGTTGCTGATCTCATGACGACTTCCGCTTTTGGCCAGAACGTAGCTGATCTCCCGAACGACCAGAACGCAACCAGAACGCAACCTCCGCGACAGGGCCTTTCAGACGGCGGCGTCGCCGACGAAGCCGCTGATCTTTGTGCTGTCCTCCGGCGCGGACCCCATGGTGCAGACCTTGGTGGAACTGGTCGCGGTTCGCGGACCGTGGACCGGGGACCGACGCGAACGAGGAACGAGTCGTGTGGAGATGAACGTGTGGAGATGATCTCATTGGATATCGAATGGATGGCAAGCTCAGCTTCAGAAGCGTCATGCAGCATACAGTATACAGATGTATACAGTATAGCTATGTATAAATTGTTCTTTCCAGGTGCCTATAGTGTAATGTACCTCTGATTTACTTCCAATTATATAATACTGATGTCTTTTAGAGAGCCATTGGACGATTGGTTGGGATGGTCTCATCCCCAACTCCATGGGTCTGACAGTGTGACATCGGGTGCGACACGCATACGATCTGCGGAACTGGAGAGAAGGTCCGAGGTGCGTGATCCTACCGCTGTGAGTTGTTTATCATGTTTGTATTTTTTTCAGGTTGAAGTGATACGCCTGGCACAGAAGTTGTCCATGAACGAGCACTACATCACGGCGGGCCTCCTTTATTTTTCTGCTTCATTTTTCCTCATGAAAGAAGAGCTGTAGCTTCGAACGGTTGCCAGGTCTCCTTGGGTCAAGGCCAAGGTCCAAAGGCAGGGATATTCTTCAGCCGAACTCTTGCCTCAGGGGTTAGCCCACCTATTGATTTGATTTGGCTAGATGGTGTATGGGTCTCTGAAAAGAAGAGCTGCTGCTTGCTGATACTGTTTTTTCAGTGTCCAAATGTGCAGGCTTCACAAGCGATCAATGACGGAGCTGAGCAAGGGTTGTGGGTGATCCTCCAAAATTGCTGGCTCCTCAGGACTTCGGCGTTTGGATGCGGTTCGGTTTGTTGGTTCGGCTTTTTGGAAACGAACCCGGATGTATTCGAAATTCATGGTCATCCGAAATCGGGGCCTATCATTTTCCACGTAACGATGTCGATTCTTTCACAGAGTGTAGTCTTGGTTGCAAGGTCATTTGGCATCGTCCTGGATGCCCACGTTGGAAGTCATGGTGGAAGGACTTAGTCTCTCTCCGGACAAGGCGTGCTGCGGCGCGGCTAAGACACGTATGTGATGTGCGTTTTCTGCGCCGTTTCTGTCGTCGCTCGCTTTCACACGCCGATCTTCGATTGGAAAGGACTGATTTCGTAGTTGTTCTTCTTCGGAAGGAAAGAAAGCGCTTGCAAGTTTCTTTTTTGGTGACTGAACTTCTGTGGTCTGAATTGCTTGACTGTCAGCTGTGGTTTTTCTTCTTTTAGGGGGTCGGTCCCTCTCCAGTTCTTGGGGCGGTTGGGTTTGCGTCTCCAGTGGCTTCGTTGGGCGCTGTAGGTTGCTGACCATTTCCGCCTGTGGCTGCCCGTGGCTTAGAGACATCTGGCCACCACGAGACATAGGGAGTGCTCGGGCCCTTTTTTTCAAGACTCAAGACATGAACGAACGAGAGACGCGAGCGGGTTTTTCGGTTTGTAGCAAAAAACCAATCAGATAATTTTCAGTGAGTTCACCCATGTGACCAGATTCTGGAAAATCATGTTTGAGGACTGCGATGCCTTCGCCCGACTTTCCCATCTCTGTCCTGCAGAATGGCATGAAAATGACCATTGAGCCACCCAAAGGTGCCAAAATGATAGAGCTAAAGCCGCAGCCAAGCACGACAGTCCTGGAAGCCACAAACAAGGATTGTGTTGAGCTTGGTAGGTCTGAATGGCTCACACTAAGAAAGAATTGAATGATTCCAGAATGAGAGAGATGCGCAGACGCTTCAAAGACATTCCCAAATTCTCAAACCATCCAGCGGGGAAGGGCAGCACACAAAAACAATGTGGTTGACAATTGCAGGCGACTGCACGTGTAGGTGGGTGCCACTTTTCCGGGCCCAACGGGAGGGGTGTGCTGTTGACTCGTCATGCAAGTCCGGCGCCAGGTTTGAAATCCAACCTGCTCAGGGCCTTCAATTCCATTGACCCCGACTGGCCAAGGGCCTCAGATGGACCTCGAAGCAGCGGTTGTTGCACGCTACGATGGACTAATTACTACAATCTATGGGACGGTGAACGAGGGGCAACGGTGTGGACGCATTGAACCTCCCACGTCCGGAGACAGCCGCGGAAGCGGCTGTTGCAGCGTTGAGTCCGAGTACCAGCCAGTTAGTAGCTGGAAGACTTTCGTGGTTCTGCCATCTTCGATACATGGAAGCAAATCAACATGAAGGCTGAAACAATATCAGACCAACCATACGTAGTGCTGTCTTTATGGCATGGACGTGGGGAATTGGGGGAGATCGACCCCGGGTTGCTCCTGCACACTCAGGTTTGCGGAAGGCTGTACAAAGTCCACAGAGTGCAAGCAAACCTTCAGGCTCAGCAGATGCGCACTTCTCCGCTCAATCTTCTCTTCTCCTCATTCCTCACCTGCTCAATCTTTCATTTCGTATCCTCCTCTTTTTGCTTCTTCTTTTCAATTGAATGTTCCAGCAGTTTTTTCGGTGGATCCAAATGCCGTGATGCCCAGGAAGATGCTGTTTGGCTTGTGCTTCTTCCATGCCTTGATCCAGGAGCCTGACACCATTTTCATGCAGTCTTGCATTAGAATAGGGAGAACCCCCATCCGTCCAAATGGTTGTTGGTCTATTTTTACCTTTTCAAGCCATCGAACCGCACGGGGGTGGCCTCCCTCGTCTCCTTTGAACGAACATCTCCAAGTTTTGTCGCAAGCGAGGACACCAGAGCCCCACAGCCCCCCCTCCTTTTTGGCCGGAGGGCGTCCACCCCCGACCCGAAACCGACACCAGACCCCCAACGAATGGCATACAGTACCAATCCAATGAATGCCTCATCCTTTGAGAACGATCTCTCATTTTCGGCCTCCAGTCGTACCTTCGTTTTCGCAGGTGTTTGGGGTGGGTGCCAGGAGGGTACGACCTTCGTACCTTCGTTTCGTTTCGAACCCCGGTCGATGGGGGACCGAGAGAGAACGGATGACGGCCGGGGACTTCCGTCGTCCGTCCGCGAGGAGCGTTGTACCTACGGTCCATTGGGCTGGAACATTCCGCCGCCCTGGCCCTTTTGGAACCATCCGAGCCACCATTTGGCCTGGCAGGTCTTTTAGACCGAGCAGATGCGGCGGTTTATGCATCTTGATAGGTGAAACACCTGGCCTGAAAGATATGATTTACTCGAAGTTTTGTTTTACTAAGATGTGTCGACGTTTGGCTTGTATGTCCAGCATACGAGCCAACACCCAAAGAGAGAAAAACTGCATATGCTGTTTTGTAGCCCGCATGGGGACCTTCCCGGACACTGGGACGATGAAGACGCTTCGACACCAAAAGCTTTTGATGACCCATCCATGAATTATCAGGAGTTCTCACAAATAAGCTTCGTCTGCAATCTCGTCATATTGACGTCAGCAGTTTGCTTCGACCGGGCCTGAAAAACGACGGCCGTTCCTGTCGGACGACGGACCCTCGCCCCAGGCGTCGGTGACGGGGGGCGGCCGCCAGGTACCAGTTCTCCGAGCCCGATCGACAAATCTGCATGATGCAACTGAGGACAGAGAGACCGCCCGGTGTCGAATCGGGTGGCCGACCATAGGTATCCATGGGTTAAGGTAGGGGCCAGGTAAGGTGTGTCCAGAAACCAGCAGAGACCGTCGGTGAAAGACTATCACTTTTGGGGAAGGGCCTACAACATCCTACAACCTAACCATCATCATCCACTCTTACTGGTACTGGGATATACCCAAGGTTGAGGCGGCTAAGGTCTAATTTGTCCTTTTGACCCGTGGGGTCCACCGAGCTGAAATGAACCGTGAAAAACGGGCCACCGACGACTTGGCCGGTGTGTTGTCCACCCACGGGAACTGTGGGTAGCTGGAAGTCAACATGTGTTTCCCCGACCCCTTTCACACTAACTCAATTGCGTAAAAAGGTGAACGGAAAGGTGATGGAACACCTAAGTGGTTGAAAGAACCCAGGGCTGGACAGGGCTGGACACACACATACAGAACACATACAGAACCTTGGCCACATGTCGAAAGCGTCGCACGTGGAGGATGTTCCTGGAAGAGAATGAGACAGTTCCATACTCCGCGCTGCGGTACACAGCTGCAGAGGCGCTTCGACAGAATGCGACAGATTGGTTGGAAGGGTTCCAGGAGGTTCACGAAGGGTTGCCCTTTTTGCCTGATTGGATACTCTCCTTAAAAAGGTAGCCAAGACTCGGTCATGACGCATCCCCCCCAAAAGCATGCTAGTCCTTTGCCAAACCGCTTTGGTGCAAACTGGGCCGGCTCCGCCGGGGCACCGCCGGTTCCAACAGGCCAACTACGGTGGACGCGTCACTGATGTGCACGACCGCCCGGGGCACCTGGAGGGGTCGGGGTGGTCGAAGCCCAAGGACTCAAGGAGGAAAGAAAAAGTGTGACACACTCCATAGGGGACTGGCATATGGATGTATACGTGCATCTTTTTAGAAGGGGTTTCAGGTGGTTTCAGGGGTCAAGTTGTGTTTGGGATGATAGGCTGATAGGTGTTATGTTCGTGCGTTCCGCGAATGTGGAGCACTCCTCCCGATACTTGTTTGGTCCATTGATGTCCATTGATAGGCACGCGAGGTGAAATAGCTCATTGTTTGAGGTAGGTGCATCAACTTCCTTCTCTCCGACTTCTACTGCCCGGAGATTTTGAAGGACGACTACAAGTTCTCGGTCATGCCGGCAGAATCGTTGGGATTCTTGTTTCGGATGCCTGCATTTGTGTTAGACATGAACCAACTTTGGATAGAACATGCTAGAAAAGGAGAACACCCAGTGGTCAAGATGAGCAGGAAGACTCGGACTCGTTCTCTTTTTCGTGGGCTCGTCCCAGAAATCAAAGAACTCGTCCGCAAACAACACTCGTCCAAAGCAACGCCAGCCCTCCGGCGTCTACTACGCGCCTTCCTATGGAACCACCCTGGAGCCTTACCTCGAGTGCGACCAACAACGCGGCGGAAAGATGTGCAAAGATTGGAAGTGAGACCGATGGTCGGTGAAAACACCGTTTGGGGATTGGTACCTTGAAACAGACCCTGAAGAAGAGCGAGATCTAGACAGACATACTTTTAAAGGTTCCATGTAGGTTTTGTGCGGGGATTATGTCGCCAAAAGGATCCAACAGGCGATTTGTCACTTGCTGGGGTGTTGATCCACATCCAAATCCGCAGGAGGAGGGTGTTTTTGAGTCTAGACATGAGTGCAAGACTCGTTGTCAGGTACATTCGCAACCTGCCGATCAATCAAATGCCAGAGGTCATTGCTGCACCGAAACGGGGGTCAAACAGAAGACAGAACATCATCTCCGCCTGTGACCAAAAACTACTCAATAGGTCAATGGCAGAACATATACCCACTCGAAACCACCAAGACTGCACTAGCTCGAGTGAAGACATTCCGCTCAGTCGTGTTCTTTTTTGCCACGCGCTCACTGAATTTGGCAGTGCCCCCGCAGTGCCGCGCCTCTTCGCGCCGTCGAACGGAACGCGCTCCGTTCGTCGACTATTTTTCGCGCGCGAGGCCTTCGGTCTCCATGCGAATGCCAATCTCGTGGCCGCCATCAGCGAGACCCTGCGGCTCCTGGGCACCGCCGCCTCGCTGCAACCGAAGACCGGAGGAGGCGCGGTGCCGGTTTCCCTGCGTAGTGACCTGCGTTTCGCTGCGTAGTGACCTGCGGTTTCACAGTGGTGCGATGCTGCGCCATGTGGAGCTGGGAATGAGTCCCTGTCAGAGCTGGTAGGTGGACAATGAAGGTTGGACAGAAAGGACATGAAAGGACCCTTTTGGAAGCGGAAAGGAAAGAACTTTGAACAACGTTTCAGCTTGAGATTGTTGGTTTGTTCGTTTATTGCCGGAAACATGAGGATCTGATGTTTCTAAGCAATCGCAGCTTTTTTTACACATCTCTTTTCAGGTGGTGGGGGAGCCTCTCAAGATGAGATCATCACAGAGGCAAGCCGATTCCCAGACCGTGTGGATGCGTGTGGCAACAAAATTGGAACATTGTTTCGTGTTGGGTTCCTGCCTTCTATCACTTTCGATGATGCAAGTCGTTGCAGAATGAATGGTTCCTTTTTTGGTCTTCTTTCTCAGTGCTGGAGTTGGAGCAGCAGCAGCAGTACCGTAGAGGGTCTTGTGCGACCAAACCGTCTCATGATCAAAGTCTCATGCTTTTCCGGCCGCCTTTTTAGTGCCTCAATTGCTACGTGCGTTGCCGTGCGTTGCCATGCGGCCATGCGCGGCGACACCGCAGGCGGCGTCCAAATACTTGGAGGATGTGAAGCCCCCCTTCGACACCGAGGCGGCCCGAACCTTCCTGGGCTTCGGTGGTTTCGTTTCGACGAACACGACGGACGGAGACCATGAAGACGCGGAGGACGGAGGACGGAGAGGAGAGTTGAGACGTAAGACGTGGAGCGACCGCAGGCAGCCAACGTGAACTACCCAGTCGATTACAATGAGTCCATGAATACGGTGTTGAATCAAGTGCCTTGACGGCAGGCGTGTAGCTCAAATAGGGAGACCTTCCAGATTCACCCCTAGAAATAGACTAACACCCATTGGTTGGGTTTTTCGTGACAGATGCAGCTCAGAGTGATTTGTTGGATTTGCCGCGGTGATTCTCGATCTAGTTTATTCCAGAAGAGGACTGGTTGATGACTTAGATGACTCTGGTAGATGACTTTCGTAAGTTTTGCACACTCTACCACTTGTAAGGAGTTCTTCATGAAATATGGCCTCACCCCCAGAGTTTGAGCTTCTGACAGATTCTTTGTGGCTCAGACCGCATCGCCGATGGGTGTAGGCATCTACCCGAGAGGGCGGCATACTTACAGGGCAAATTCTTGTAGCGGTCCATGGCTATACAGTACATATTTATACAATACATTTATTTCTGACTGCTAATTTGGATTAATCTAATTTCAGGCTGTTTTAGGGTGTTTACACAGCTTGGAGCCACTAGGGTAGCTTCAAAGAAAAATTGTCTGGTGCAAATCCATTAAATTCAATTTGGTCAAAACGTGCCAAAAAGATCAAAAATGCATGGAAACCAAGCAACATGAACAATGCTCATGAAATGAACGCAGTGGAATCTCAGAATCTCAGTGAAAATACATGAAAATACTAAACCTAGGGTCACAACTTGCACTCCTGAGGTTTGAGAAGTGCAAACGAATCGCGTTTGGCTTAATGTAGCCGTTTGCCTTATAATCTATACCTGCAACCTCGTGGATGTTTCAACAGACCTGGTTTAGGTCTGTGAACGACATAAACTTCCACAACCGAAACACGTTCAGGAAAAAACGCCGGGCTCAAATATAAGGCTGTGATTCCAAAAGAAGTTTTTCACGCCGCAGATCGGGAAAAGAACACTCTGAGGAGGTTCCAGGTGTACTCCCTATAGCCTATGACCTGTCCCTCTCTCGCTCTCTCTCTTTGTTTTTTTGGAAGACATGGGAAGACCCAAGACTCAAGACCATCTGACTGGCCCCCCAAAAAACTCCAGGAAGTTACTGTACTCAGCTACTTTCCCTGACATCATCGAAGACAAAAAAAATGACATCATATTTATGAAATCAATTGAACACATATGAAATCCGAATACCAAGCAGGTACCATCCACTTGCATGTTTATTTGAGGGAGGGTCAATATAGTGGTTCTTTGTGATTGGTGACTCCTTAAAGCCTGAGATCGGAGAAACAAGCACTAGGAGGGTCCACACTAGGAGGGTCGAGGTATACTCCCTATCACCTGACCCCCCCCTCTCTCTCTCTCTTCTCTCTTCTCTCTTCTCTCTTCTGTCTCTCTCTCTCTCTCTGTCTTTGTCTGTCTCTCTCTCTCTCTCTCTGTCTTTGTCTGTCTCTCTCTCTC